TGTGAGGCCACGGTGGCGTATACGTGTTCCGGAACATGGACTTTGATTGCCTGCGCGACTGCGAGTCACCGTTTCCCCAAAATTCTATAACTTCACAAACACAAGCATACATACACAGTCAGACACAATCACACACTCATCCTTAGCCATATATAAAGTGATAAGGAGCCGCAGGGCGACCGTCAGAGCGCACGCATGCAAATAAAATTGCCCATACGCCCCTTTGAACGGTCTCTCCTTTGCGATTCCAACGATTTCCAGCATTTCCTCTGCCCGCCGTTCGTGGGTTTGCATATATTTCTGGTGATAATACAAGAAATTGTATCAAGCCAAAATTGTTTTTTAAAATGTTACGTGCCCGGCGGCTGCTTTGACAACAAATTTATATGCGGTAGGTAATAAAAATGCAATATAATTCCATATATAAAATTTGTTTGCTCCTTTGCTTTGGTCTAGGGTAATCTGAAAAGTTTCGATTGCAGCAAAGCGATTCGGGAAGAATGTCTGGGATGAGGCATAAGAACGAGGAAAATAACAAGAAAAAGCGGCAGGCAAAGGAGAAACCTAGACAGCATGAAATGAATTGAATTTCGTTTGATGGATTTGTAAGAACAATATTTGTACGAGAAAATTGACAAGCCATAAATAAAAAGTAAACAAAATTATAAATAATTTAAATTCAACATCAGTGGTTGGTTTTTAAGCAAAAATTTACACAACTTCCTCTTCGATATCCGCCAGCTAACTTTACTCAATTGAAAGCAATTAATAAGGGAAACTTTAAAAGGGAATTTGCAAGCGGCAGTCCCGCAGAACAAACAGAGTTTCGCCATTTTCACACCCACTCCAATTAATTTATTAGCCAGCACCATATGCATACTTCCACTTAGTGTATGGACATCCCCTTTTCCCTGCTCATTTTTCCACCAACATGCGGTTGGGGGCAATTATAAAATCCACAAAGGGAATTGCCATGACGACAATCAACTAATGAAATTAATGGCAATTTGCATTGGCAGCACCATCGCATCCTTTACATGGCAGTAGACGGAAATAATGCAATTCCGCGCTCTGTTTAAAACCGGAAATGCGACCCTCAGCTCCAGAAGTGACCCATCAACCCGCCTACCCATCTACTCCTACTCCCCTGTGGCCAAGGATATCGCACACAAATACTAATTAATCAGCTTGCTATTAATTAAATGACCACCGAATGGGGCAAGAGAACCACCAGCCAAGCTATAACGATATCCATAATCCCCGCAGAAGTGGCTTTTTGGACCCGAAGGGCGGCTTTAATTGCTGCCTTGCATTTAAAACAGGGAAACCACCGTCCAACCGCAATTCCCGCCTGACATTGTACCGTGAAAGTGCGTCGAAATTTATGAATCTATTTCTTTTTTTGGACATCCGATAGATAGATAGATAGACAGATAATGATAATGATAATGGTGGGTGGCGCATGCCAACTCGGTTTGCTGTTGGTGGATTAATTTACAACCTCTTCACAATGTCATTGTTATTTGTTATGGGTTTCAGCATTATCGTACCAGTTTTTTTGGCGTCACTCGGTGCAATGGCGCCACAGCCCTGCGCCTGTTATTAAACATAAAAATAAATTAATAAGCGAGCGACAACACCCACACCCACACTTACACCCACTGCCATAACACAACCCCCCGACAATCTCAATTAAGCGAGGCAGTCATTTAATACTGATGATGAGCGGAGGAAATGACAGGGTGTGAGAACCACGCAAATATTTTAACGATGCCATGTGAAGTTTTTCACGTTGTCAATGGCAAATTAAATGTTGCAAAGGGTGGAGTTTAAATGGGTGCCAGAATAATGCAGACTATACTCCTGTCATTAAAGCTAGTATGTGATGCAGTCTCCAATTTGTATGCAGAATGAGGGCAGGAAGTAGCCCATAAAAGTTAAATGAATTCTCTAGAAATTTTTAATAAACTAAAGGGAATTTAATGAGAAAGAAAGAAGGTACAACACTACATAACTAAAAAAATGGAATAGAAAAATCTTTATAGCCATTAATATATCTAAAAATAACCGAAACATATAGCTATGATCGAGGGAAAAGATTAAGATTCCTAATACAAACTTTTCATATATAAAAATAATTTTTTTCAAGTACAAGAAAGTCCGCAAAAAGCACAAAACCATCCATATAAAGTAATAATGCTTCAGTGTGCGTAGGAAAATCGTTGCCTTTTGCCGCTCAAAAGGTCCACAAATGCATGGAGGAATGTCAATTTCAGGAAAAGAGAACGGAGCATATGCAAATGCAACTGATAAATTTCCAATTAAATGGGAATTGGTAGTGGAGAACGAGAAAGGCATCGCCATGGCACAGAGAACATGGCAAAACCATTCAATTAGGAAATTAAATTTCAATTTTTGTCCAAATAAAAGGAAAAATTAAACGTTCGAATGGGCTGCTCTCTCCCAGTTCTCAGCACTTCAGTTTCTTCTATTGAATTCTAAATTGAACATTTGATTAAATATTTACTTGCTTCTAAATCTACACGTGATAAAAAACATGGAGAAAGTGAGCAAGAGTAAAATCCGACAAATAAAATATATTTTATTACTACTTTTTGAAAAGTCATTCGACTAAATCCCTTACATTTCAAATTAGCCAATTTGATGGCCGTTCAATGCTGATAGGAAAACGTGGCCAATAATAAATGCATTTTGGTGAAAACAATTTTCTGAAAGCTTACACTGTTCAATGAGTAATTTATTCCATTTGCAAAATGATTTCCCCAGGCAACCAAATCGTGGCTCTCCACAATGGAAATTTATTGGGGAAATTGTGCGTTAAAATTATAAAATTAAATCAACAAATGGCAAAGGGTTGCAAGGCCTTCAGTGCTTACCCCTTTTCAGAGTTGCGCAACAGTTGGTTGCCAGTTTGCTAGTGGCCAAAAAGGGGGTGCATCCAGCCAGGAGCGCACCTTTTAATGCAAATTAGCGACGCGTCTGCGGAGCTCCAAAAGAGGGTGAAAGGTCCTGCACGAAGAGAGGGGGGAGTAGGTGTGAACCGATTGAAAATTCCACCACCGCATCGAACGTGTCTTGGCATTTATAACAACCATTCAACAAACCACCAAGTGGTTAGAGGCAAGCAGGCAGGCAGGCAGCAGGAGCAAAATTTAATTGACAATTGTTGTTAGGTGGCTCAGTTTCCAGAGCCAGGGAAGAAGTGAGTGGCCAGTCTCTTGGACATACCACACATCTACCTGCTAGAGTCCTTTGAATCAATAATTTTCCTGCGGTTTTGTTTCTACTTGAGAAGGAGCTATAAACATTATGGTTTATTCATTTAATTAATGGAATGTCGATCGACAAAGGGCTCTTTGAAAGAGGCAAATTTGATATCTTGTTTGTAATGGGAAATATTAATGGTAATTTAATATACACATCAATATCACGTATCAGATACGTGTAAGTATTGTTAATTACTAGAAATTTTTGCAATGTCCAAATATGTTATTAATGTTTCAGTTGACTACTTATTTATTAATTAAATTTTTAATAACTATTTTCACATAACTTTTAGTTAACAAATTGACTAGTTCTGCCAGTTCAATAAATGCAAATAAATCCAAAAGGATTTTAAAATATTTTAATTTATATAACCCACAAAAATATGCTATGAAATAGTTCACTCTAAATAGCAATTAGCCAGCTTGTGCATGTGGTAATACTGCCACGCCCCGAATCAATAAAGGCAGTTAATTAAGCGAACGCAGATATTTCAAACCGAAAGCATTTCCCGAATGCAATTTTCAAAAGCGAACATACACACAATTTCAAATCAACGCCAATTGCCAAATGCCAAATGCCAAACACCCAATCATGATGTTCCATCAAAAGTTGGCGTGCTCTAATTTAACATTGATGCGGGTTAGTGTATAGTGCTGATTGTGATCTGTGATGAACAGAGCGTACTTAATGCCATTTAATCAACGAAAAAAAAAAGTATCAAAGAGAGAAAAGTATTTTCCCGCCAACTTTGCACAAAATTTCAAAATTACATTTCGCCTTGCGCTGCCGCTGCATTTTTCCTTCATCTTTTGCTTAATCGTTGGGGGTTCTTTTTTGGTTTCTGGGAGAATGTTGGTGGTGTTGCTTCATTGGGCAGGCGAATTTTCGGATGCCAAATGCCAGCAATTAGGAGCCAAAAAGCGTTGCATATCCTGTGGTGCTAAATTGCTCGAATTTGCCCCCAAAAAAGCATAGTTAATGAGTTTTTGGGGTCAGCATAATGCGCGGCGATGCCGAAAGCTCCGAAAGTTCAAATCATTTGCCATGCCATTTGCTGCATTTCATTGGATTTTAAGCAGTTGGATTCTTAGAAAGTTTCTTTCACCTTTTAATTGCTTTTAGCAAAGATGAATTTTTCAGAAATTTAATTGGAAAGTTTAACTAAACAGGCTGAGGGTAGTTCAGGCACGAGCTGCTAGACGGGCTTCCGGGCTTCCGTGGTACGTAACCAACCAGGCCATCCAGAACGACTTACGGCTTGTTCCCGTGGGCGATCTCTTAAACCAACACAGCAGCCGATACTCGGACAGGCTAATAGGTCACCCAAATCCTCTGGCTAGCAGGCTTGCCGACCCGCAATCTACTAGAAGACTTAGTAGATTCCACCCCAGCGACTTGCCATCCCGCTTAATTTCTTAAACTTGTAATATTTTGTAAATAGTTTTATTTTAGTTTTGTAAATATTTGTACATATACTCTAGGTACACCGATAGTACCATAACTAATTTCCTGATAAACGCCCGGTTATGTTCAAATGCCTGAACGATTCCGGCGAAATAAAAATGTAAATATGTAAAAAAAAAAAAAAAAAAAAAAGGAAAGTTTAAAGTTTCAAAGAAATTCAAAAGAGATTAAATATTATATATTTTTAAAATCTTTAAAGATAGAAATATAGTTTTGATAGAATAAATTGGTTGCATGAATTAACTTACCAATTATAAAAAACTGTTTCAATTAGTCGAATCTGCAATAAAAAAGAAATAAAACCATTAAGAATTTATGAATATCATTATTAAGATACTTTAAGAAAACCATAAGGAAAATGCTTTGGAAAAACAAAACCGAGACCCAAAGTTGTCACCGAGATGCGTGGGGAAACATTTAACGAGCTATTTTTTATGCATTAACTTTTTTTTGTTTTAAGAGCGTAATTAGAAGAAGCTTTCCAAGTGGAGGGCTCCCAAAATGGACAGAAAAACGGCAGCCATTTTATGCTAATGGTAATGGCCAAGATGGCAAAGGAAAAAAAAAACAAGAAAAAAACACAGAATAAAAAGGTAGATGAAGAGGGCAGACCATCGCACTGAAATATGTCACTCAAAAGTAACGAAGAGAAGTAGCTAAAATTATACAGATAAATACAGACATATATACGAGTATCTGTATCTGAATCTGGGTTAGCGAATGTAGCCAAATGGGATGCATATTAAAAATAGCAACAAGACAAAGAGGGAAGCCCATAAAAAGAGCGTTGACAGCCAGGCTAAATTTATCAATGACAAGATGGGCCTTTGGGGTTTGGGGTTTGGGGTTTTCTATATGTTAACGCTGACGTTGATGCCTAATGTCAGTCAAATTACGTTAATGCATTTCCCTGCTACCAGCAAAATATGTGGAAAATATGGGTTACATAAACGAAATTAAAAAAATCTTAAAAATGTATAAAAATAAAGAAAAATTTGCTACCATTCTTAAATAATTTAATTTAAAACCCAGATTTTTCCCCATAAAATTGTAATTTTTCCAAATTTCTGTTCTTTTTAAAAACAAATAATTTACTCGTAACTTTTTGAACTATTTCGTTCATGCCAGTTGAATCAATGCAAAATGAACCAACTTCCCTTCACTCGCTTTTCCTGTCTTTTGAGCCAACTTCAAATTGAACTCATTTGGCCATTTGCCAATTAACTTTTTTCCTTATCCTTTGGCAAAAGAGCATCGGCCGATTGGTTACCCCCGCTCCCCCTGCTACCAACAAGCAACCAACCCACCATGTTTGGCAATAATTCAAAGCAACCCCCTCGCTTTACCCCTTTAACCCTTGGCCACTCCATCTTGCCACCCTTTGGCAGCCAAACCACGAAAACTTTGAAAGCCTTTTGGCCGCAGGCTAACAATGTTCGCTTGAACAAACTCTGCCCCTCCGAACCTTCTCGCTGGTTACATTCTGCCATAGTCGTGCACTGGAAGAAAAGTCTAGTAAATCAAGTTTTCGTTCTTAATAGTTTAATATTTTTTGAATTTATAAAGGATTTTATTTTTTTTATCAATATACGTTTCTTGAAGAATAAAACTTATAAAATTCTAAATTTTGATGATATTAATTACCATTTACTTCTCATGTGTGATTTCTCTAAGTGTCCGAACTAAGGGGATCCACCGCCGCAGCCACAACATTGTGCTATGGCACAGTTTTGCAGCCACTGATGGGGGGACGTTGACGGTAAATGCAAAAATGCCAGGACGCTCCTGAATGACCAAAACATTCAGATTGCATGCGAGTGTGTGTGCGTGTGTGGAATGTGCATGCATAGGTGTGGGAGTGGATGTGGGTGAGCATGTGTATGAGGATATGACCGCATTTGATTTTCATCTATGCAGCAGGCCAACTGGTTAGACCTCTTCCCCGGGAAAACTGGGCTAAGAACTTTGGTACTTTGTTTAGTTGAATTACGCCAAAGCATATTAAGTTCCCTTGGTGCGCTCTGTTTGTTAAGTGCTTAATGAACTTTGCTAAACATGCTTGGCCAGCGAGACTTGACTTAACTTGGCCTCTAAACTTTTCACATCTCACTTTCACTCGACCAACTTTGTCCAAAGTCCTTTGCGCCAAGCTCCTCTATCGCCGTTAAGAGATTTATGGCAGTCTCTCTCCCTCTCTCTCTGTCTCTGTCTCGCTTTTAGCCAAAAGGCAATTCCATCTTAAACTCATTCAATTTGCATACGTTTAGCTGCATTTTCATAATTAATTAGTTTGCAAATTGTTGTTCACTTGATTCGGTTTGGCTTGAATTATGAATTGAGAGGCGGGATTATCTGGATTTTCCGCCAGTTTAATGCGTTTTCCATTGATACGAAGTGAGCAATTAGCTCAGAACATAATTGCAGCCAACAACAAAAATGTTTGTTTAACAATAATGTTGAATATTTTTTTGCTTTAGCAATTCATTTTAAAGCATTTTAGTTGATCATGTCTCTATTATTTTTTCTCTCTCTCATTAAATTTCCTCTTTAACCGCATAGATTTCTCATACTGACTTCAGGATTCCCAAATGCTTAACTCCCTTATTTACCAGCTTTCCCCCAAGTTTCCAAGGACCGCCCGCTGTGCGAACACATTTGGCATAACGTGCCTGAGCTAATGTCACACATGCATCATAGCCACAGGACCAAGGCCACAAGGGGAGCTAAAAACGTGGATAAATGGATAGGAGGCTGAGTGGGTTGGCCGAGGTTGTCGAGTACTTGACTAAGCTGCAGCTAATTATGCAAATTCATTTAATGCCATTGTTAAAATGATATTTGCCTCGGGGATTTGTCGAGCTGATAGACCACAGCATCTCCCTCACTTAAGCATGGATAATTAAGCCCGAGGTTGACTTGTGAAAAAGTTACAGCTTCTTCAATTAAACGGAAATTGGTTGAAGTTGAGGTTGCATTGAATGGGCAACAATGTATTACTTGATTTAATGTGATTACAGGTTATAAATGTGAGTTAATTAAATGGTTAGAAGGGTGATATTTTTAAGGATAGGATATATAGGGTATATCCCTTTTAAGTTCGAAATAGGAAAATATCTTATTAAGATTGCTGCTTAAATATAATAAATGTGATTTGGGATAAACGGTTGAAATCAGAATTCTAACAGAGCTAAGAAAACATAAAGTGGTTCTTTCCGTTTTAAGTACTGTTGTCTCTCTTCTTAGCCAGTTTAAATACAACAACCCCGCAATATATCTTTCTTAATAGCAACCTGTAAATATGAATTAGACTACCGACTAACAAGCAATAATCATAAGGGTAAGGGAGTTCCTTCTAAGAAAGCTACCTCTACAAGCAACTCGAGCGGTACAGTTGCCTTTGAAAATTTATGAAACGCACAGCCAAACCACCTTGGGCATATATTAATGAAAACAGAAGCAGAGGCAGCCTCGGTAGGCCTTACAATAAATCTTCTAGTTATTGTTTTATAACATGCTTTCAGGCGCAAATCCCTTACAATAAAGGTAAGCGTTTGGGTCTCAATTTCGTACATTTTGGCAGTGCTGTGAGCACACTTTAAACTTGTTTCCCCAGCTCAAGTCCTCCGAAAGGGGCCACTCGAAGAGTTCCCAGATTGGTTGTCCTAACAACAAAAAGAGGAGAAACTTAAGAAAGGAAAAGGTAACCAAGCATTAAATTAAAGACTTTAACAAAGTTCCTTTTTTTTTAGTCTTAGCCCTCATTTTTGGGCAATTCTTTTTTTATTTGCTTAAACTTTGCCGGGCACTAAGCGTTATTATTTTTTTCAAACGATCTACAGGTGGAAAACAAAAGTTGAAATGAGCGAAAAGTTTAAGCGGGATTTGCTGAAAGAGCCACCTTACTTTTTATGGGCCAACTTAGATGTCCAGTGAAATGTAAATTAATGCAAATTTCCACATCTACATTTTAGGCCAACGACCACATGAATTTCCTGGAAGTTTCGAAGAAAACCATTGACAAGTTTAGACTTTCCTCCTAGCCACGGGCAATTATGCCTGGGATTTCAATCCTTTGCTTAAGCTACGAAATATAAATAATTATCTGCCGTTGCCTAATTTTGTTGAAAGACCAAAGCCACAAAACCATTTCCCAGCAACTTGATTTCGAGACCGAGAGTCAGAGAGAGAGAGAGAGGGTTTAGGAAATCTGCTTACAGTGTTTAATTTCAACACTGTCCGCAACCACAACACTGAAACTGCAGCTGGCACTCCCTCTCCGCCTCCTTCTCCATCGGTCCCCCCGTAAAATAATAATAATAATAATAATTTACTATGAAACCGAAAGCCACAGGATAACATGAAGACCCGAAACCCGCATTCTAGCGTTCATTGTAGTCTGCGGTGGTTCGGGTGGATTTTCGGTTGGACTTTTGGGTGGTTCATGGCCAGCTGCAGCACTGACTGAGTTGGCTAACCGATGGAGTGGGCTGGCTGCTGGCCATAAAAAATGGCTTAATTAGTTGCCATTGCTGGATGGCAGGATAAATATTGAAGTTGTTGGCTTTGGCAAATATTTGAGTTCTGGATTTCAGCAATCCAGTGAAAAATGTAGGGGGTGGAAAGGGTATACTAAAATCCAAGAGTAATTAATATGAGCATTCGAAAACTTTATCATTTAAAGAGGAGACTAATCATTGGGGAATATTAAGAGAAAATAATGTTAACTGCTATCGAGAATTTCTTGATATTGATTTAAGACCTATTAGAATTTCCCTTAACGATAATCTTTCAAAATTAATTATCCCCGAAACAAGCGCATGTTGCTCTACAAAATTGTTTTCTAAATAGCCCGTTCGAGTCTGTGTCTTAGCCTCAAGGGGCTGAGGGAAATTTATGCTCTACCATGGGTGGATATTACCCGAATTGCAGATGCAAATTGGTTCAGTTCATTAGGATGTACATGTTCCAGAGAGATCGTAGTGGATAGAGGAAAAGTACGTAGGAAGTTCAATTAAATACTGCAGCATTCGGACAACGGCAGTGGTTGGAGTAGTTAACTGGGTGATTTTCCTTTTCCCACTTTACAAAAAGCCACATCATCATCATTTTGAGCTGCTGCTCCGGCACCTTTTCTGCCTTTCCTGCATTTCTTGCCTGCTCTGGCAGTCAGGTTAAATTTGATTATGTGAAGCAAAAGCAAGTAGGAGAACTCACACGAACTCAAACTGAAAAGCAAATCTGTTGACGTTTTGCAAGACTCTGTACATGTGTGTATGTGTG